TTATGTATAAAAAGTTTTTCTCCATCGCTTTTAGTTTTTGAGTTATGATTGAGTTAATTTTCGAAAATCAACAATTTTGATGTTTAATCGATTTAGAGCTTATAAATAAAAAATGGTAATAATTGGGTTCAATCTTTTTATGGATCTAGTCTTTATGGTCCATTACTAAGGTTTTATGTATAAAAAGTTTTTCTCCATCGCTTTTAGTTTTTGAGTTATGATTGAGTTAATTTTCGAAAATCAACAATTTTGATGTTTAATCGATTTAGAGCTTATAAATAAAAAATGGTAATAATTGGGTTCAATCTTTTTATGGATCTAGTCTTTATGGTCCATTACTAAGGTTTTATGTATAAAAAGTTTTTCTCCATCGCTTTTAGTTTTTGAGTTATGATTGAGTTAATTTTCGAAAATCAACAATTTTGATGTTTAATCGATTTAGAGCTTATAAATAAAAAATGGTAATAATTGGGTTCAATCTTTTTATGGATCTAGTCTTTATGGTCCATTACTAAGGTTTTATGTATAAAAAGTTTTTCTCCATCGCTTTTAGTTTTTGAGTTATGATTGAGTTAATTTTCGAAAATCAACAATTTTGATGTTTAATCGATTTAGAGCTTATAAATAAAAAATGGTAATAATTGGGTTCAATCTTTTTATGGATCTAGTCTTTATGGTCCATTACTAAGGTTTTATGTATAAAAAGTTTTTCTCCATCGCTTTTAGTTTTTGAGTTATGATTGAGTTAATTTTCGAAAATCAACAATTTTGATGTTTAATCGATTTAGAGCTTATAAATAAAAAATGGTAATAATTGGGTTCAATCTTTTTATGGATCTAGTCTTTATGGTCCATTACTAAGGTTTTATGTATAAAAAGTTTTTCTCCATCGCTTTTAGTTTTTGAGTTATGATTGAGTTAATTTTCGAAAATCAACAATTTTGATGTTTAATCGATTTAGAGCTTATAAATAAAAAATGGTAATAATTGGGTTCAATCTTTTTATGGATCTAGTCTTTATGGTCCATTACTAAGGTTTTATGTATAAAAAGTTTTTCTCCATCGCTTTTAGTTTTTGAGTTATGATTGAGTTAATTTTCGAAAATCAACAATTTTGATGTTTAATCGATTTAGAGCTTATAAATAAAAAATGGTAATAATTGGGTTCAATCTTTTTATGGATCTAGTCTTTATGGTCCATTACTAAGGTTTTATGTATAAAAAGTTTTTCTCCATCGCTTTTAGTTTTTGAGTTATGATTGAGTTAATTTTCGAAAATCAACAATTTTGATGTTTAATCGATTTAGAGCTTATAAATAAAAAATGGTAATAATTGGGTTCAATCTTTTTATGGATCTAGTCTTTATGGTCCATTACTAAGGTTTTATGTATAAAAAGTTTTTCTCCATCGCTTTTAGTTTTTGAGTTATGATTGAGTTAATTTTCGAAAATCAACAATTTTGATGTTTAATCGATTTAGAGCTTATAAATAAAAAATGGTAATAATTGGGTTCAATCTTTTTATGGATCTAGTCTTTATGGTCCATTACTAAGGTTTTATGTATAAAAAGTTTTTCTCCATCGCTTTTAGTTTTTGAGTTATGATTGAGTTAATTTTCGAAAATCAACAATTTTGATGTTTAATCGATTTAGAGCTTATAAATAAAAAATGGTAATAATTGGGTTCAATCTTTTTATGGATCTAGTCTTTATGGTCCATTACTAAGGTTTTATGTATAAAAAGTTTTTCTCCATCGCTTTTAGTTTTTGAGTTATGATTGAGTTAATTTTCGAAAATCAACAATTTTGATGTTTAATCGATTTAGAGCTTATAAATAAAAAATGGTAATAATTGGGTTCAATCTTTTTATGGATCTAGTCTTTATGGTCCATTACTAAGGTTTTATGTATAAAAAGTTTTTCTCCATCGCTTTTAGTTTTTGAGTTATGATTGAGTTAATTTTCGAAAATCAACAATTTTGATGTTTAATCGATTTAGAGCTTATAAATAAAAAATGGTAATAATTGGGTTCAATCTTTTTATGGATCTAGTCTTTATGGTCCATTACTAAGGTTTTATGTATAAAAAGTTTTTCTCCATCGCTTTTAGTTTTTGAGTTATGATTGAGTTAATTTTCGAAAATCAACAATTTTGATGTTTAATCGATTTAGAGCTTATAAATAAAAAATGGTAATAATTGGGTTCAATCTTTTTATGGATCTAGTCTTTATGGTCCATTACTAAGGTTTTATGTATAAAAAGTTTTTCTCCATCGCTTTTAGTTTTTGAGTTATGATTGAGTTAATTTTCGAAAATCAACAATTTTGATGTTTAATCGATTTAGAGCTTATAAATAAAAAATGGTAATAATTGGGTTCAATCTTTTTATGGATCTAGTCTTTATGGTCCATTACTAAGGTTTTATGTATAAAAAGTTTTTCTCCATCGCTTTTAGTTTTTGAGTTATGATTGAGTTAATTTTCGAAAATCAACAATTTTGATGTTTAATCGATTTAGAGCTTATAAATAAAAAATGGTAATAATTGGGTTCAATCTTTTTATGGATCTAGTCTTTATGGTCCATTACTAAGGTTTTATGTATAAAAAGTTTTTCTCCATCGCTTTTAGTTTTTGAGTTATGATTGAGTTAATTTTCGAAAATCAACAATTTTGATGTTTAATCGATTTAGAGCTTATAAATAAAAAATGGTAATAATTGGGTTCAATCTTTTTATGGATCTAGTCTTTATGGTCCATTACTAAGGTTTTATGTATAAAAAGTTTTTCTCCATCGCTTTTAGTTTTTGAGTTATGATTGAGTTAATTTTCGAAAATCAACAATTTTGATGTTTAATCGATTTAGAGCTTATAAATAAAAAATGGTAATAATTGGGTTCAATCTTTTTATGGATCTAGTCTTTATGGTCCATTACTAAGGTTTTATGTATAAAAAGTTTTTCTCCATCGCTTTTAGTTTTTGAGTTATGATTGAGTTAATTTTCGAAAATCAACAATTTTGATGTTTAATCGATTTAGAGCTTATAAATAAAAAATGGTAATAATTGGGTTCAATCTTTTTATGGATCTAGTCTTTATGGTCCATTACTAAGGTTTTATGTATAAAAAGTTTTTCTCCATCGCTTTTAGTTTTTGAGTTATGATTGAGTTAATTTTCGAAAATCAACAATTTTGATGTTTAATCGATTTAGAGCTTATAAATAAAAAATGGTAATAATTGGGTTCAATCTTTTTATGGATCTAGTCTTTATGGTCCATTACTAAGGTTTTATGTATAAAAAGTTTTTCTCCATCGCTTTTAGTTTTTGAGTTATGATTGAGTTAATTTTCGAAAATCAACAATTTTGATGTTTAATCGATTTAGAGCTTATAAATAAAAAATGGTAATAATTGGGTTCAATCTTTTTATGGATCTAGTCTTTATGGTCCATTACTAAGGTTTTATGTATAAAAAGTTTTTCTCCATCGCTTTTAGTTTTTGAGTTATGATTGAGTTAATTTTCGAAAATCAACAATTTTGACGTTTAATCGATTTAGAGCAGTAGTGTCCACTAATTTTTGATCAAAATCGACTTTTTATATAAATGTCTTGCCAAGATCGACCGAAGGGTTTAAAGTAACCTTCCTTTTTTTTGCTCTGAGGCCCAGATATTAGATATTTCAGATTCATGATTTTCTTGGCGATCGACGTTAATATACATACAAGATACATGTTGTTAATTATCTTAAAAACGATATCTATTGTTGCGATCACGTTTGAACTGATTTTACAAGGAACACTTTATCTTAACACCAAATGGTACTGGTATTAAGAAACTTATCGCTGACGGTCATTCGTTTTTAAAACCGAACTCTTTAAACGTTTCCCAGGAGACAGTTAAAAGGAAGACTGTTATCCGAGATGTTTTTTTTTTTTTCGAAGTAGCGGTTCGAACACACCGTATACTCTTCAATCGCGAAGTTAAAAGTGAACTCGTTCGTTTTTCTTTCAACAAAAAGGCGTGATGACATCTGCTTCGAGTGGTTGTTGATTCTGGTGGGTTCTTCTCGTGATGTTTTTACCGTGAAACGACCGCCAAACGATTATTATATAACAAATTGCGACAACACACCGTCACTAAAGAATACAGTTATATTATATTGAGTTATATTGAGTTTTAAACGGCTTTATGATTGCGTGTTACAAAGTTTGATTTAGGTTTATCGCCATAATAAATTTTACAAATTAATCTATTAGGAATGTGGGTTTTAAACAACTATGATAATTTTATGGTGACCCAATAAATAGTAGAATAAATAATGTGCGAAGTAAATAAAGTAAATCACGGTCATGTTCTGATGAAGACTAACTGCAGTGAGTAAAACCATTCGATGCTAATGACGACACCAAGTGGAAATCTGCTTCAACATACCTAACTGTCCCATTATCCCGTTTCGAGTCAAATAAGGCATTTTCTTCTTCTTCCACTTCTTCGGTTTCAAAACGAGTTATTAATTTATCGAACGGTGAATAAGTTAGCGGATCTTCTTATAACCTTACAGACGCCAGACGGGATTGATTAATGTACAAAAAAAAATCCGGTCAACAGCTTTAATCAATTGGCATGACTCAATGATTCAAACAAAAACTTTGAAAAGTAAACTTATCCTAAAATTTAATCATAACACTTTAAGTAAGAAGTTAATTTAATAAAATTACTTAAATTTTCTTGCAATTTCTTAACGGAATTGAATACTAAATTACTTGAAAGCCGAAGATTTCCGCGCATTATTGTACGCAAAAATCTTTGAAACGTTATCCAGAAGTCATTAGATGTAATGAGCTATTGGAGTTTCAATAATAGCATTTCTGCTAAATCACGATAAATGCTTTCGCTAGCTCTCGTGATTTCATTTTAAAGGAATTTGAATGAAATGGAAAATTTGCATTGATAAAATTATTTTTTATTCAATTTAATTTAATTTCAATTTTTTGTTTCAGGTTTTAAATGCCCAAGATTATGAAGGTGAGATTCAATCAATTAAAATACAATACATATAACCTCAACATAACGATCCCCGCTAGTGTTAGTTCTAGTTTTAATTGTTATTCAGAGTTAGATTGTGGTATATTTTTCATTGAAAAACTGAAAATAGAAATAGCCCAGGTCCTGATTTAATTACGAATGAAATGTTAAAGCCGGTGGATAAGCACTTTATGATCGACTATTCACACTTTTTAATAAAATCAAAAAACAGGCAGGTCTTTTAGTAGTAGCAGAAACAGTATATGGGAAGTATCACTTAATAGAGAAGGAGATAGTAAAAAAAGAAAAAGAATGGAAGGAACTGATGAGGATACAGATGAGTTGGAGGAGATAGACAATACGCCTACAGTTGCTCGTCTACATACGATCTTGGCAAAAGATCACAACACTGATCTAGGCCACCTATGCAAACAAGACGGTAAATACACTGAGGATGCTAAGGAATCGTTGGAGCTCTTACTGAATACACACTTCCCTTCCTCAAAAGTCTGCCCCCACGCAGATGCCGTCCCTGAAGTAGAAGACATAACGAGTCCATCAGGTAGGGTTCGCAGCATAGCTGGGAACATTTTTACATCCAACAGAGTATGGTGGGCTATTTCTAATTTCAAGCCCCTAAAATCGCTTGGAGGAGATGGAATTCTGCCTATTTTTCTGCAAAAAGGCTTAAAAGACCTTCTCCCAGTAATAATATCCCTATATATAGCTACCTACAGCCTTAGCTATATACCCACACTATGGAGGAAAATAAAGGTGGTCTTCATACCTAATCGATCAATACCTTAGGAATGGAGTGTTTGTCACTAATTCACTCCACCCTAGCCAACATGCTTACCAGAAAGCAAAATCAACAATTACTGCTCTCCATGCTTTGACGAGCACTTTAGGGGAGGCAATTGCAACCAAAGAGATAGCCCTATGTGCTTTCATAGACATAGAGGGTGCTTTTGATAACACCTCCTATAAATCCATAGAGAAGGCTCTAAACGTAAAAGACATACATCCGTCGACAATCAAATGGTGTATATCCATGTTAAAAGCAACGGGGAGTGCTATCACCTCTATTATGGTGCCAGGTAGTTGATGACTTGATGAACACCCTAACAAAAAATGGATTCAAGATTCAGGGGTATGCTGATGACCTGGTAATCACAATCCGAGGTAAATATGATACAATCATAACTCAACTAATACAGAAAGCCCTACTACTCACCAGTACTTGGTGTAGAAGCAATGGGCTCAGCATCAATCCAAATAAATTCAAAATAGTCTCTTTCACTCGGAGAAGGAAGCTACAAATAAAAGCACCCTGCATTGAAAGCAGAACTATTAACCTCAAAACAGAAGTTAAATACCTAGTGGTATACTAGACAGTAAACTAAACTTTAACTCATACTTAGATAAGGTAAGGAGAAAGGCCATCATGGCAAACCAGATCTGCCGCAGACTCCTAGGAAGGAACTGGGGTCTCGAACCACGAATGGCTCATTGGGCCTACGTAGTAATAATCAGACCCATAGTCGCCTACGTCTCATTGGTTTGGTGGCCAAAAACAAAACATGAGACAGCACAACAACAGCTGGCACAAATCCACTGGTTAGCATGTCTTATTATAACGGGTGTAATGAGATCTTGTCCGACGGCTGCTTTGGAAGCCCTGCTCGGTCTCACACCACTTCATTTATATATACAAAAGGGGGCAGCTTGAAGTGCCTTATCACTGAAAACAGTTTCTTCACTCAAATTGATGCAGGGTAACCTCAGAGGATACCTCAAAATTCTCAAGGACCCATGTCTAAATCACCTGATTGAAACTAAAACGGACCTTATACCGACAGAATACAATTTCACCCAGCCGTATAAGGTCATATTTAGAAGCAGGGATGATTGGACAAAGGGTGGGCCTCAATTAAAAAGAGAAGTCCTTGTCTTCTGAATCTGGAGTAGGCATGGGAATTAGTGGATCAACTAACCGCATTAAATTACTCCTTAGCTCGGACAGAACCATTTTTCAAGCATCGCTTAGAACCTACAAATGGGACAGAAAGGTGCATCCATAAACATTTTCATAGACAGTCGGGCCGCCTTAAAGGCAATTCAGGCCTACACGTGTGACTACGCACTGATCAGAGATTGTACCAGCAACCTGAGAGAACTCGCTAGGGGCAATGATGTTACCCTACGGTGGGTTCCCGGTCACAGCAACATTGAGGGCAATAAGAATGCGGACAAGCTGGCCAAAGAAGCAGCGAACACGCCCTTCATTGGACCCAACCTGGCTGTAAACTACAAAAAAAACACCTAAAACAAATAATCATACATGGTGTGGATCCTTGTTACCAATATATATATGAAATAATTAGAAGTATATCTTTTGCTTTTATTGGTATTTTTATTGTAAACTGTGCCTGACGCGTTTCGGCGATCTACGCCATCTTCGGAGGCTATCGTCTTGTTTTGCTAGGTTATGTAGTACATTTATAAAATATTATTTCCTTCTTAGGTGCTAAGGTCAAAATGCTTCTTGCAAAGATTATTTTTAGTTTTTTATAACAAATGGGCTGGATTATTTATTTCTTGTATTATTTTTCTTCTTCTCGAGAGCGAACAAAATGCAGAAATGGCGTGTCTGACCATTTGTTATTAAAAACTAAAAATAATCTTTGCAAGAAGTATTTCGGCAAAACAAAACCAAAGATGTTATATGCCTCAGCAAAGGGGATCTAAGGACGCTCTCAGGTTACCTAAAATGCACCCCTAAAATACCACCTCTTCCATATTAGACAAGCTGAAGATCAAACTTGTCGACTTTGCAACGACGAGTCAGAAACAGCTGAACATATACTGTGCAATTGCGTCGCCAGAGGCCGTGTAAGACACAACATTTTCGGTAAAACTCTCTTGACACCTACCGACATAAAGGTTCAAGACCTCAGAGCAATACTAAGGTTCATCAAAGACCTACATTTGTCCTAAACTTTTAGAGGGCTAAAGTTGCAATAGATCTTAAAGGTCGCGGTAACGAGAGGGGCTGCTACCCTCAGCCCGGCAGCAATAATAATAATAAAGTTAAAACAGAAAATATTAATTCTGATTAAGGGCAGACCGTCAGCAAGTTATGAGTGAGGCAAGAAAAGAAGACGAAAGTAATACATACAAAAGGCATGAAGATCGGAACAAAACAGCAAGAAGCATATTATGCAAAAAGAAAATTGGTAGTATCACCAAAACTGAATGCAGTATAAATTCGATGCGCCCATACACAGAAAATATACTTGGTTTAACAGTAGAGTTGGATAGGGAAGCAGCCAAGAGATTATTAAAAGAGAAGAGAATTTGCGTTGGGCTTGCAGTGTGCCAAATGGAAGAGAGAAGAAGTATAAAAAGATGTGTTAGGGGCTGGTTCCCACTGAATTTAGCAAAGAATTGAACAGAAGAAGACAGATCAAGTAAGTGCTACAATTTTAGGCCAAGAAGGACAAGAGCACAAGAACTGCTCTAACCCTACGAAATGTTTAGACTGTGGTTCGAAAGAACACAAAGCAAGAAGCAATAGATGCAATAAACTTAGAGAATTGTTGAAATATCACAAACTGTTCAAAGATCTAATCCAAGAAGTTGCTATGGAAGGTGAAATTAAAGAGCGCCAAAATGGAGAAGGCGCCTACAGAAATACCTTATTCACATCGAGCAATACGTTCAAAAGTTATTGTAGTTTGAAATTGGTCATCATTTTTTTTTTCTCTAAACAGAGGATGATGGGTGATGGAGATGTAAGTCTTGAGATCTATGTTGAAAGTGACACTGCGAGATAGGCAGACCAACACATCTATCAGAGAAAGATGTAACATATAGGATATAGTAAAATGGACAAAAGTAAGAAAGAAAAGGTGGAAGGAGCATGTGGAAAGAATGGATGAGAGGAGATTGGCGAGAATATGCACAGAGCTTGTTCTCCTCGTCTGCTAAGTAAAGTTCAAACATGAGGTTTGAAAAAAGGGATGCATTCCTAATCGAAAGTAGAAGAAGAAGTAGTAGTAGAAGAAGTGTGGATAGCTTGAATTTGTGTGCATTAAAATTATTCATATAACAGTACTTTTGGTTATATCGAACATTCCCTTCCCCATATTAATCCGTTATATCGAGGTTGTACTGTATTTTTTACAACTTTATTTATTTTTATTATTTCTAGTAAGTGATATTCAATGTACTTTTGCTGAAAGTGCTGGAGAAGAAGCGAGAGATTCAATTGTAGCAATATTAAAAAAACCGGAACATTTTAAAGGTAACCCTCTATTCGCGGATGATAGAGACGTTGATCCTGAAAGAAATAGTGTATGCCAAATTAAGCAAGATTTAAAAGATCCAAACGGATTAAAGTATTTATTAAGAATTACCGATTTTACCCGATGTGGAGTTTTAAAACGAAATGTACGTTCAAAAATGATTTAATTATCCAAAAATTGATTTTTTAATTTTTTAGGGGTACGTTCATGTACGAGTTTGGTTTCCGCAATTTCCCGGTGTTGTTATGCAATCTGATCAAGAATTAATCATTATGTGTAAACCTCCTGAAAAAACGATTATTGAAAATAAAGCTGCGGGATTCGCCGGGAGCTTTCCAGCCGGTGCTAGAGTATCGGGGGTTGTTGAAGAATCCCCCGGAAGATTAGAATACGAAGTAGCTCTTTATAAAGAAGCACCAGCACGAATTAGTAACGTTAATAACGAATTACCTGTTGATCAAGCAGTCCCTATTGGAACCAAATTGCAATTAAGAGCTAGAATTAATCCAGATTCAGCCTGGAAATATGTTAAACTTATGGAAGTTACTGTTAGCCCCGATCCAGATGATCCACATAGACCAGGAAGTGTTTCTTTGGTGAAAAGTGGGTATGTATCAATAATTAATTAACTTAGTAAAACATTAATAACTTAATAATTTTAGATGCAAAAATGCTGAATTTACATCAATAATCCCACATCAACCCACACGATACAGAGAAAAATACAACGAAGTTTTCTTAGATTTCGAAGCCTTCTTATTAAGTACAATGAAAGAACGCTCAACTTTATGGATTCATTCTCAAATTAAAGCTTGCATGGATGAGGGTGATTGCGAACCGGAATACTGTTTAGGAATGCACGACACTTCTGGCCACGGAAGAAAAAGGAGAGAAATCACCGACCCTCAAGCATTAACAAAGAAGTACAACGACACCACACAATTCACTAAATTTAGCGATAACATAGAGTATTCAGTTTTAATGCCAAGCGAATTTTTCCATAAATCCGCTGCGTTAGAAAGTTCTTGTAGTACATTTTTAGTGATTGCGACGATTTTGGGTTGTTTATTATTCATGTCTGCGTTTGTTATGTGCTGGTTAGCTTCAAGGTTACACACAGCTTTGTTGGGGACGAATTCTGAACATAAAAATATTGATCAATTAGTTCGAGAATCGAGGCATTATAAAGAAAACGGATATACAGGACGAGCAATGACGCAATAAATGATAATTTTAGAAGCATCTTTCGAAGTTGAAGTTATAACGATAAATTGATTGAAAATTTTTGTGCAATACGTTGTAAAAATTGATGAAAAAAGCTATTATGTGATCAACAAAAAATACAAAAATCAACAATTTTTTTTTAATTCTTTTATGTTAAGCACGTATTTATTTTTTATTTATTTTATGGGTAGTCTTAATTACTTTGTGAAGTTCTTAAGATTACCATAAGAAAACGCAATTCCAACTGTGAGCAAATACATTTTTGGAATTGCGTTTTTATGTACATACTGTCTAAGCTAGTTGTAGGAGTTTATATTTTTCAACTTAAACCAAAAAGAAATCCTCGTATTTTTATTGTGGGGGGTGAAAGTTACTATTTTGAAGTTACATTGGATTAGATTAACGATAACCAAATTAATACTTATTGTTTCTTGTGTCGTTTTTACTATTTATTATGTTAATAAAAATCTTTCTTTTATAGAATATTAGTTTTTTTTACAGAATAACAGTTATTCTGTGGTAAGAGTGACATATTAGGAGAGATCAAAACCAGTTTATGTTATCAAAGTGTACCCTGAGGTTGTGACTTCACAAGATGTAAATATCTGATTTGTTATTTGCAAAATGTACTTGACAAATGAAATGAGATGTAAGAAATTACCACTGTCACACTGCTGCATCAATTAGGCGAGTTGTTAATAGTGGAGGAATGGAAGAATTAATAATCAACGCCTATAGATTTATTGATTAGTTTCCATCCATTAAAACATCGTATCTCAAGAACCACTTGAGATGTAATGACGAAATTAATACCGTTTTAAAACAAATTTCATATAGATTCAAAGTGCCATAAATAATTTCTTAACTTCTCCATAAACATAATTGTAATTATTTTTAAAACCCAACTTTAACTCAACATTTTTGATTATTGTAGATTTTAATAATAGAAATTTAAAATATCGTATCTCAAGAACGATTTGAGACATAACGGTGAAATACAAAACATTTTAAAGCAAATTTACTTAATATTTAATATTTCGGAGTTGACTTTATCAAATCTTTAAAATTCGAAATTATGAATTTTTGAATGCAACCTTGCATAAATTTAAACATAAATTTTAGCATTATCTCAAAAACGAATTGAGATATCGTTATGAAATAGCAAGCAATTGAAAGCTAATTTAATGAAGTTTTAATGTGCCATAAATAATTTCTTATTTTCTGTAACCATCGTTGTTATGAATTTTTAAATCCAACTCTGCATATTTGATTCTTATAGATATGAAATACAAATTTTTAAAAATCGTATCTCAAGAAGGAATAGAGATATCTTCATGAAATAAAGAACATTTTAAAGCAAATTTAATGAAGATTTAATGTGCCATAAATAATTTATTTTTTTCCATAGGCATCGTTGTTATGATTTTTTGAAATTTATAATATAGCATAGGATAAGATCTAACAGGGTAGTCCCTCAAAATGTTCTGGATTGATTGTCGTAGAGCTCCGCAGTCACACTGGGACGATGGCAGTACTCCCCATTTGTGGAGGCTATCACCACAGACTCCGGCGGGGAAGTCCAAATTCTTTTGGTTCTTAGTTGGGTTGGATTTCCTCCCACTCAGAGTTGTTGGTCTAGTTCTTTCTAGCCAGTTCCTCAGCAAGACTTAATTAGGGTGTAGGGATCTGAGGCGATTGATATCAAGATATGAATCCTCATGAATCAGCAACAGTGGGTTATCACTTATTTTTTTAAACTCTTTTAGGAAAGGTTTCTTTCTTCGCAGGTTTGGCGAGGCGATGTGGCTTAATATTGGGAGCCAGTGGAGTCGCAGTTTTGTATGATGTTATTGCGACTTTAGATTTTTACAGATGCGTTCTCTAGATGTTTTTTAAACGAGAGGGTTCTGTTCAAAGTGACATCTAAGTATTTGGGAAATCTTGGTGCTGCAGCGTTCTGGTACTAAAACTGACCTGACATTTCCTGGACGCCACTTTATTATTCAGGTGAAAAGCGCAAATCTCTTTCTTTTTTAGATGAGGTGTTAGTCTCCACTTATTTATAATATATCGCTATAGCTCTCAGGTCATTAGAAAGGATTAATGATATGAAAGAAGCTAACTTCCAATACCAAGAGTACAAAAGAGCATATAGACACATTTACAACTATTATGGGAGAAACGGTGATATGATAAAAGAGCTTTCAAAAAGAAATCATACATTGAAGGCGCTAAAATACATTTTACATGGAAAAACCCTTTAATTAATTGATATTGAATTCTATCAATATTATAATATTTTCCTGATACCATATGTCCTGAAGAATAAAACTCAAATTCTTTGTAAAATTATTGCTTGTGCAATATAGAAGCACTTACGTCTGTCAACACAAGCTCTGAAAACACCAATAGAAAGGCACGTGTTGTTCATACGAGATAACAAAACAGTCACCATCGATCCAACAAATAACGAATGTGTAAAAATTCTAAAGGCGATAACAAAAGTTTTACAAATTTTAATCAATTTTTTCCTCGAAAATTGCGATATTTTTTTTATAACGTAGAATGTTGTGCTGATTCTGAAACTATCTTCAGTTTTTCTCCATCAAGTCCAGTTTTCGAGATATACCCAAAAATGTGGAAAATCGTAAATTAAAAAACATAGTAACGGTTCATGTTAAGAATATTTTTTATTTTGTATAGTGTGCTTCTGTAGCTATATGGACATGAAAGTAGAGATCCAGGCGAACGTTTTGAGGTATTGATGGCATAAATCGGACTTTCCGTTATTTTGCTACAGCCTAAAACAACTCAACAAAATCAAATTTTTTGGCATTTTTCCCATTTTTTTATCACTTAATCGCACCGTAACGAAAAAGAATTATATATGAACAAAAAAGTTTGCTATTCTACCCTGTAGAACATTTAATTCTCTAAATTTCGAAGCATTGGACACCATGGTCGGATGTATTTTACCGAAGACATCGTTAATTTACGACAATCGTGCAAAATTTCATTTTTTTCCCATTTTCAGTGTATTGTTGAAACATTATTACGAACAATTTTTTTTAATAAAGAGGTGTTTTAACTCCTCCAGGCACTAAGCATAAACATTAAATTCACTGAAATAAATATTATTATTTTTTAAATACAACAAACAATAACATTAAACTATAATTAGAACTAAAACTAGAACTAACACTAGAAACTTTCGGGTTTTGCCGTGCGTCTTTTTATAAAAGGTTTGTCGTTTCGGATGCCTTGTTGCAACCTTCTTCAGAAACTGGTTAGAAGTGAACAATAACATTCTTGAAAAAAATTTTTAAGAACTCGCGCGTTTACCTGTTAAACCTTTTTTTGCAAAAGAAATTCTCATTGTTAAAAAACAATCACTTTCTGTGAAAAGGTGTTTTTTAATAACTCCACTTCTTTATGTATTAGATCCTTGTTCTGCTAAACAGTCTTTTTTTGAAATATTTTTTGTTATAAAAGAAGAATATATTGTCATAATATTTAGTTCTTCTTGAGACACCTCAGTGATCTTTCGTTTAAGAAAATAGCAAAGTATTATACAAGTTTTGTTGATAATGGCTAGCAGAAGCAAAAGTTTTGAATGCAAGAACAATCCTGATTTGTTCTATTTTATTTGCGGACAATACATTATTGGGATGACGGGACGACCGATTACAACTGTTATTATTATCACAGTCTTCGAGATTTTTCTTGTAAACTAGTGTAATTATAAAATCGGATGAAATAAAAGCCAGCAATGACTAAGTAGAAGGAGAGCTCTTAAACTGTCTCAATAAAACTATTAATCCACTGAAATTCCTGTTAAATCAATTAAAATTAAAATTTCTGATTACAGTATTAATATTTGATTAATATCTTATCATACTTTATATACTAATACTTACCTCAACTTCATTTTTAATTCTAACAAAACTAAAATGATAGGTAACATAGCATAAATTAAGGGGATTTCGTTATCGTTATGATAAACTATAAAATATGGTTTAGTGAAAAGAATGAAAAAGTGAAAATTTGTATTGTATAAAGGAAATGCCAACAGAGGACGAAATTTAAGATTATTAATTGCAAATTATTTAAGTGTGTAATGCAAAACAAATTACATTAATTTAATTAATTATATTAAATTATATTTGTTAATCAATTAAAATTATTCAGTACGTTTATATTAACTTAAGTGACACAATAATTCTCCAGGAATCCATCACACGATTTTTTTGTCAAATAATAAAAATTAATGGATAGATAACGTAAGAGATCGTAATAATTCAAAAATCACGCGATATTTAATCTCATCGCCTCATTCATAATTAAACATCTACATCAACATATATAAATATGACAAAATGGATTAAATTTTATGTTTTGATATGATTCATAAATCGATTTCATTATATCGCTTGTTTAAAACATTTATTCTTCTGTTATGAATTAATATCTAATCTAATCTCAATGTTAAATAACTATTATATTATTCAAATCATTCATTAGATTAAAAAATTAAGCAATTGGGTTATCGAACGACGAAAAGGAGAAAAGATTAGCGTCACAAACTATCTCGATTCTGTTAATCTTTGAACCGGAGATATTTTTTTATATTTTTAATAAATTACGAAAAATTAGATTATTAAGAAAAAAAAAAGGTTGCAAAGTATACAAAAATTCACATCAAATGAATTTATTTAAATATAACTTCTTACGAATTAATAATCCTTGGCTAACACTAAGTCATACAAACAAACAAAACATGCAGCATAGAAATATTCTCATTCATGCACATATATTACAATAAATCTCCGCAAATATTCAAACAAATTCTGTATTAGTACGTCAAACAATAGCTTAGAGAGATCGTTTCACGCGAAATCATTTAGCATCTATCTTATTTAAAAAGCAACAAAATTAAATAATGAGACGAATAAGAGCTCCATTTGAACATAAAATTTAAAAAGAGACAACACTAAGAGGTATTTTTATTACACATGTTCGTTATATTTTTTGCCGAATGATTTTGATGTAAATATTAAGTAGCAAAGAGAGTAAAAACGACGATTATTATTATTATTATGCGTAAAAAAGTATTATAGTGACTAGTATGAAAGCTAGTGATTTTTTGTTCTTGAAAATGTGTACTCAATTTTATTCCTAATTTCTTTTTTGAGTGTTTCTAAAATCTTAATTAAGAAAGGTATAAAAAAAGTAAGACCCTGCTTATTTTTTTAATTTTCTACATAACATAATTTTCTTTTTAATCCAACAATGATTGTTAAAAACAATTGTTGAAAATAAATTAAGTATCACCATTATTTTAATCAATTCGTTCTTGATACAAAGCTTATCATTGACTTTGGAATGAAAATGACTACAGTTTATTATTGTTTAAAAAAAGACAAGTTAAGACATACTACTTCATGCTTCACACTCCATGAAGTAGTATATTTATCAAAAAATAATGTCACCTAGATTAAATGTGTATTTTAGTTTTATTAGATTCGCCAGCGATTCCGAGTGCCTTTTTAGCCTGTGCACGTACATACAAGTTTGACTAGCGTCGTACAAGCGCTAAGTTCAGATTACCAAAGTGGTTAAAAGAAATCTTAAATAAGAAAAACTAAAAATATATAATAAAAATCATCCTGTTTAACTTAAAATTTGTCCGTAATTTTCTACTACTTTCTCCATGAGTTTCTTGTACACTCAACCGAGTCTCTCATCATCACAGACACCGAAATTTTGAAACGATCTTGCATTTTCCCCACTACTTATCCCCATTTGCAGTTATGAAATGCCCATTCTCACTGATGTGTCCATTGGCGGCGTGCCCGTTCATCACCTTTAATAATTCCAATTCCTTCTTCTCCTTCTTTTTATTTCTAGCTTCGTATTCCAAACGATTCCTGATTATTCGTTCCACAATTTTTTCCGTTGTCATATCATTTTCTGAATCAACCAGCAAAAATTTACCCAATTTCTTTGGTAACGCAAATGGATCACTTCCGTCATCCGCGTCCATAACTTGTGTTTTCCCGTGAATGACTATGTCGATCTTAAAATGATCCAAAACATCTTGCGTCACTACGTAAGGCGCTCCAATAACCACTTCTGAGACGTATTTACATGCTAAAACGCTTAAAACCCGTTCGTGGAGATTCATAATTGGATAATTTGAACCTTTGTAGTGATTCACTACTGGATCTGTATGTAAACCAACAATTAAGTAGTCACCTGTAACAAAAAAAAATAAAATTTAGAAATTTAAATACAGGAATTTCCTCTTGATTTTTTATTTTTATTATCAATACATTTGACGTTTCGAACTTTTTTAGAGCGGTTTCTGATGATGAACTATTTAAAATGGTTCGAAACGTCAAATGTATTGATAATAAAAATAAAAAATCAAGAGAAAAAATAAAATTGTTTATTATTTTAACGTTGTTATTTTTATGAAGTGTTTTTAGGGCTTTTTAACGTGTTACATGAAAATTAAATGTATGATAAATCACATAATTGTGAGAAAATTAATTAATTATTGTAAAGCAATAAAAACAATATTGCTATTAGTAGATAAATATGTAAAGGTGAGTCAATGCACAGTGATTTTTGTTATCAATTATTGAAGTGTATTTGATTTGTTTTGGTACACTTAAGGTTTTTTGAAAGCTTCGCGAGATGAAATTTATTATTTAGACATTTAGTCTTAAGAGACGCACATCTAAACCCGAATGTTTCTGGTTCTAGGTCTAGTGTTAGTTCTACTTTTCGTTCAATAAAAATATACCATACTGTAACGTTGAATGACAATTAAAAGTAGAACTAACACTAGACTTAGAACTAGAATCGTTTGGGTTTAGCCGTCTTTAGAGACGTGCGGTTAAATCCGAATGTTTCTAGTTCTCGGTCTAGTATTAGTTCTAGTATTGCACTAGCACTATCACTAAACCCGAATGATTCTACACTTAGGTCTTGTGTTAGTTCTAGTGATAGTGCTACTGCTAGTGCAATACTAGAACTAACACTAGACCGAGAAGTAGAAACATTCGGATTTAGCCGCACGTCTTTAAAGACGGCTAAACCCAAATGATTCTAGTTCTGGGTCTTGTGTTAGTTCTAGTGATAGTGCTAGTGCAGTACTAGAACTAACACTAGACCGAGAACTAGAAACATTCGGATTTAGCCGCACGTCTCTCAAGACGGCTAAACCCAAATGATTCTAGTTCTGGGTCTTGTGTTAGTTCTAGTGATAGTGCTAGTGCAGTACTAGAACTAACACTAGACCGAGAACTAGAAACATTCGGATTTAGCCGCACGTCTCTCAAGACGGCTAAACCCGAATGATTCTAGTTCTAG